AGGAAGAATTGAAATTGGTCTATAATTACTTAAATTAGATGTATCTCTAGCTTTATATAAAGGAAGATTTTTTTCTATTTTCAATTTGTCAGGAACAATCCCTGTTTTAATTGACGAGTTAAAGATGTTTAAAATAGGCTTTTTTATAACAGAAAAAAGTAAAGTACAACATTACTAGAAATGTTGTCAGTACCTGAAGTCTTGTTCTTTTTAATTGATTTAATTGCTATTTCTAATTCTTCTACTTTTAGATCACTATCAGGAAATGAACTATGAAAGTCACTAAAGTAACTTTGAAATGACTTTTTCCGAGGTTTGTATTTTTGACCCAAGGTTTGGACCAGTGTTTACAAAGAAATCGTTGAATGTTTCTGATATATGTTTTTTATCTATATACTCAATTTCGTTTTCCGTTATTCTGGAGGATAAAATGTCTGAGTTTATTTTATTTTTACCAATAACTTCTTTCATAATTTCCCAAGTTTTCTTTATGTTCCCATTATTTTTTTTTAATTGCTTAGAATAATATATTTTTTTAGATTTTCTCTATATTTTTTCAAATAGGTTTTTATACTCTTTATATAAAGAATAATTTGCTTCGTTTCTATTTTTTAAATATTTAATGTACAATTTTTTTTTTTTTTTTTGGAAATATTTTTTATTCCTTTTGTAATCTACGGGCATTTAAGATATTTTGTTTTTATTTCAATTTCATGTATTGGGAAATGATTGTTATAATGCTCGAGGAAGATGTCAAGAAAAAGGTCATACACAGAATTTATGAGCCTATGATTACATTCATTGTATACATTTATCCAATTTCTTGTTGATAGAGATTCTTTAAATTTGAGCATAAAGTTTTCATTGATTTTTTTTTTACAAATTTTAGTTTTAGATTTGCTAAATATAGTTGAGTCTTCGACAATAGAAAAAAAAAATAGGAAAATGATCCGAAATATCAGTTTTAATTGTTTCTGCTTTTAAGGGATCATCTATTACGGAATTAATTTAAATATTATCAATAGCAGTAGAGGAAATTGTTGTGACACGTGTTGGTTTATTGATGATTGGGTAGATACCGTATAAAAATAAGTTGTCAAAAGATAATTTAGTAAAAGGGTGTTCATTGTATTTTATAATATCTATGTTAAGGTCACCAATGTAAAATACTTTTTTGTGTTCAGTGTTAATTTTGATAAAGCTTTGATGTAAGAAATTAGAAAATTGAATAATATCGCCATCAGTTAGTAAAGACTTTACAAAAAAAAAATGTTGTTGCTATGGCCGTTGCTAATGACGCTTTTTATACTAACCAACAAACTATGGTAATAATAAATAAAAAGTTAAATTATTAAATCGTTAATTAAAATAATTGAAAATAAAAGAATTTATTTAAAAACATTGTTACAAGAATATTTATTAAATATTCTTGTAACAATGTTAAATACATTATTTTACTTTCAATTAGTTTAATTAAAGATTTAATAATTTAACTTTTTATTTATTAATACCACCATACATTTTTTTAATAAGCATTTAAGTCTCGATGTTAGTTAAACATTTTTTATTGCTCAAAATAAAAACAAACCTCATGAAAAATCTTATATCTAAGTCTATATGTCATTTTCACTAATTTTTTTGAAAAATAAATTCGCCATTTTGGATATAAACATAAATTGTACCAGAAAAAAGTATAAAAAAAAGTATTAAAAAAATGCTTAAAACTAGCATTTTTTGTATGTTATTTTTCTGAAAAAATAACATATTTTTTCAGATATTTTTTTAAAGATATTTCTTGAAAAAATAATAAAACATTTTTTATTTTGGATCTCTAGGGTTCACTACATGGGAGGAAACTTCTTTCTAAGAAAAAATAAATTATTTTATGTAGTACATTTTTGATATCTTTATGTACATTTTTGATATTTTCACATGAAATTTAAACGGTAAGTTTATGTAACTACATTCAAAACCCATTCATACTTTTTGTAAGCAATACTTTTATTGATCCATCCATACTTTTTGTAGACAATACTTTTATTGAGTCATCCATACTTTTTGTAAACAATACTTTTATTGAGTCATCAATACTTTTTGTAAACAATACTTTTATTTTCCAAACATTACTTAGCACATAATTTTATTGTTTGTAAAAACTACAAAACACAAGTTTTTAATAACAATAATATTTGTTAGTGTGAGACTTTTACTTTTTAATAAAAGTAAAAAGTAAAATACTTTAACTTTTTTTGAGAAAAAAAGTTAAAATATTTTATTTTGTAGTTTTCTGTTTTAATGGTAACGTGATTTTTATTTTAAAATGTTTTTCCTGAGTTTTTTTCTATCAGCAATATTTAAAAAGACCCTTTAACATAAATAAAACACTTCAACAAAAATAAAATTTCAACAGTTAACGTCTTAACACGTAACTAAGTATACTTAGTTATGTGTTAAACTGTCAACTATTAAAACTCTATCTTTGTTCAATTTGCGATCTTTTCTAAATAGAAGTTTGCGTATTCACTATAACAAATTCTATTTTCTAGTTACGATTAGTTGTCATTTCTTTATTATATAAAGATAACTTGTTAAATGTGTTTGTTTTAAACATTTAACCCCTAAGATTTATTAAGGTATTGTTGTTAGTGCTAAACAATATATGTTTCAAACCAATTATTTACAAGATACATTCTCGCCAGTGGCGGATTAAGACTTCTTGGGGCCCGGGATTATTTTTGTTTTTGGAGGCCTTTTTTTGGGCCAGAGCCTAAAAATTTTTCTAAAATTTTTAGGCTCTGGTCCATAAAATTCTGGTCCTCTAAAATTCCCATAAAAATCTGGTCCTCTAAAATTTTTTGGGACCCCTAAATTTGCGGGGCCCGGGGCCCTTCATCCGGCACTGATTCTCGCTTACAATTCTTTAGTAAAACACTTTGATTTATATTAATTAGATGGTTTGGTCCAACTCTTCTGTCAAACCGTTTATGCCTTTTTTAAGTTTTCTATGTTTTGATGAGCTTTATGAAATTTATTCAAAGTTTATTCTCGATTTTATGCATTTCGTTGAATGTGTCTATAACTATTTTTCTTGTTGCAAGAATCATCATCTTTAAGATGCTTTTAATAATCAATACTTAATACTAATAATAATCAGTATTTAAAGCAACATCTAATAGTTGTTATAAACCAATAATATTAATAATAATAACAATAAAAACTATAACAACAATAACAATAATAAAAATAATATAAATACAGTATAATGACAATAATATAATCATTTTATTTATTTTTAACCGTTATATTTATAAGCACGATAACATTTCGCGACGTTAGAATTATCTTGCTATATCTCCACTTTTTGAAAAAATTGGGTTATTGATTGTGTTGTGTACCTCAGAATAATAATTTTCTACTGTATTGAAACCTAAGTTATAAGTAAAAAAGTTGCGGAGAAAACAAAAAGTTATATGCCATCACCTAAAGTTTTTAATTTTTAAATCGTTTTATCTCGAAACTCAAAAATGTGGAGATGGAACAAGATAACTCTAACGTCTATAACAAGATAACTCTAACGTCGCAATTTTATAATCTTTTGATAGATAATAAAATATTTATATATTTGATTTATTTGTTTAAGTTTTAAAATCTGATCAAAGGAGTCACACTAAGTTTTCTTTATCGCCATTTATCTACTATTTTATTAACTTAATAACTGTATGTGATTGTTATTCTGTGAACTGTTTTTTCTTTTGTAGAAAATTTTATTAACAAATTTATGATATCAGTTATTTATTTAAATTTCAAAACAACCATGTTGGCTGTTTGTACAGAGATTAAGCCAGTATTATAACGGTTTTATCAGTAAGTGGCTCTGTACGGTAACGGTACCAGTAAGTGGCATCATTATGCCCCATTTACATAAGTAGTTTACTAATTTAATAACTAGCTTTCGGAATTAAAATGTTTTACAACAACCGTTTGTGCTCAAGGAGGTTTGGACTCAAATTTCCTGATTTTTGACTTTTGACATTGATTGCATTGAGAAACACTCTTGATAAAAAAAAAAATCTTTATTTGAATATGGATGGCAGTCACATCTATAACTGCATGAAATGATAAAGCTTTTGGTTCAACAAAAATTCTAATTACTTTATGAGCAAATTTAATAAACTGATCCACATTTCAGGGATTGGTGATAAGACCAAGTTTATCTTCTTCTAGCCCCAATCATGTAAATTAATTATGATTATAAAATTTTTCTTATTGATTAATACATACATACAAGGCTGGTGCGATGTGTGTGTGTGTGTCTGTGGGGGGTGGGGAAGGGGGGTGGGTTGTAACCCCATCCCCCATCAGTCATTTTTTCGTTTAATTAGTCGGCAAATTTGACCTTTTTTGACTTGTTATTTAATGTAGACCCTTTCGACAAGTTAGTTGATAAACTTAGACAGTCAGTTGGCGAATGTATTTATGGGAGTCAGCAAATTGTTAAAAATAGCTACAACTAACTTTTTAAAAAAAAATTAACCCTTTTGTTTCTGGAACTGTTAAAAAAAAAAAAAGAACTATTATTAAACTACAAACATCCCAACGATTGCAGACATCCGGAAAACGTTTGATAGACAGTTAATAGACGTCACAAGTCCGTATGAACGATGTCCAACGAACATTCTGTGCCAACTGGAACGAGTTGAGTTGATTAGTTTACTTAATTATTCAATCAACGATGAGTTCTCAAAAAAATTAATCAATAAATGAATAATTTCAGAAAATTATTTAATTGATTTTTAAATAATTTAAGCGAATTTTAAGCGAATTTTGCGAACAAGCGAATTAACCAATTAAAAATTTAAGCGAATTTTGAAAAATTTGCCAACAATTTTAGAAAAATTTATCGATTAATCGAATTATTTGATCAGGAAGTATTTTTTGATATTATTAGAATACGCAAGGGTAATTTTTAAAAGTTTGGCCGCGTTGATGTTGTAATTAAATTTTTTTTTGTCTTTTCATTTAAATATTTTCAAAGATATTTTACTTTATCCATGTTAATCTTTTGAAACGACAATTTTAATTGCTAGCAATAAAATTATTACAGTTATAAAATTATAAAATTAAATTAAATAAATAATTTTATTTTATTCGTAAACTTTATTGCTTTAAAGGACTTGAGTTGACGTAATTAAGCTCCTCCTGATTTTACAAAGTTATCACGTAATATCTTCAGCTTTGTAAACAAAAAATCAAGAGTTTGTAAACAAAAAATCTTAAGTTCTTACTGTATAATTTGAAGGAACATAGTTATTTTTTAAACGCTTTAGACGACAATTATGATGTTTAGTTGATATTAAATAACAACAAATATTTATAGGTAAGTACTTGCATTGTTTTTATTTCCGACAAATTTTTATAAAATATATAAAAACAATAATTGTAAAAGCAATGTTTATATTAAAATGCTTGTCCTTTTGTTCTTAACAAGAGCATTTTAATAAAATGCTCGTTCTTTTGTTTTTATTAAAAACGTTTATTATTAACGCGTCATATTTAAGGGCTATGCATAGAGTTTAAATACTAATATATTATTAACAGAAGAAATGCTTTATAACAACATAATGCAACATATACGGCTTCAAATCTCAAATCTTACTATTTTAGGTTAGAGACATTTGTTATTTTACGATAAAAATTTGCTATATAAACTATTTTAACTAAACTATTAACAGCGTTTAACTGTCGTGTAATACATTGTTTATAAGAGCAACAATACTTAACATATTTTTTTAATGTGCAAAAGCAACAAAACTTAACACAATTTTTAAAGTGGAGAATTTATTTAGTATATGACTGCACATATTCGCTTTTAAAATAGATAAATAAATATTTTATGTTTTGAATTGTTTCGTAATAATTAGTATTTTGTAAGTTGCGTGAAATACTTTCCATAAGATGTAAAAGATAAAATGTTTTTGAGTTTTTATATATCGAGTATATACTGTTGATTAAAAAAAGAACTATTTAGTATAAATATATAATAAAAGATTTAGAATAAAAAAAATGAGGTTGATTCAATTAACTATTCTTCAATTCGTTTATATTGCTTTTGGTGATTCTTGTCCATCAAAATGTCTATGTACTAATAATGGAGAAATCTCTTGTACAAAACAAAATTTGACATCTAAAGATATCGAAATGATGTTGTTTCCAATTAATGCTACGATGTTGAATCTTACAGAAAATCTATTGACTTATCTTCCAACAAATATTTTTAACAATTTTACGAAACTGAAGACAATTGATTTAAGGAGAAATCTTTTGGATTATTTGCCTTCAAATTTATCTTTAGAAATCCCAAGTCTTAACGTTATATATTTAAACAACAACAAATTAAGAGAAATAAAAGAGAGCTCTTTTGATGGATATGATAAAATTATCACATTAGATTTGAGTGGTAACCTACTCGAAAATATACCACCCAGCGTTTTTAAAAAATGTGCCGATCTTTTACATTTGAATTTGAGAGCAAATCAAATTGATAAAATAAATGACCAATCATTTGCCACTTTGGAAAAACTTAGAACCTTGTCTCTTTCAGAAAATAAAATTTCCTTTATACCTCCTGGCAGTTTTAATAGCTTAAAAAGTATCGAGGTGATAAAATTAGATGCCAACAAACTAGAAATGATAGCAGAAGGGCTATTTTCTACTCACCTCATTGAACTCCATCTTGCCTCTAACAAAATTGTTCAAGTTTTGCCAAAAGCCTTTCATAATCAAGATTTTAAAATTTTAGATCTTTCAGATAATTACATTACAACGCTGTCGATGGATTCGTTTGTTGATGTATACTACGAGTCATTAGTATTAGATGGCAATCCTATTATTTGTGATTGCAGGTTGAATTTACTTGTTGACCAATATCACAGGATCACAGGATCGTGTCAACTTCCGTCGGCTTTAAAAGGTTTATCTTTGTCAAACGTATTATCTCATAATTTTTTAAATTGTACAGTTTGCTCAATAAATCCTTGCCAAAACGAAGGAAAATGCATTATTCAGAGTGAAGGGGACAAATATAGCTGTGTATGCGAGCCAATATATACAGGTAAAAATTGCGAAACTAAAAAAAAACTATGCGAATTAAATCCTTGCCTCAATAATGCAACTTGTTCTGACGTTAATTCAACAAAAGGGTATATATGCAACTGTACTTTTAATTACAAAGGGCAGAATTGTAAAGATCTTAAAGTGTGTCTCAGTAACCCCTGCCACAACAATGGAATTTGTATAGAAAACGTTAGTCATGAAAAACATCGTTGCAAATGTCAGAGAGGTTTTGAAGGGACCTTTTGTCAAAAAAGAGCTAAAAAATTTCCACCAGGATGGATTGCGTTAATTATTGTTTCAGTTGTAGTTCTTGTTATTATTGGCAGTGTACTTTACTTTTGCAAATTTCGACGACAAAAAACTGTTATATCGGAAGAGTCACCGTTGAACGTAAAACCTGTTATGTAATATCAAATAGCTTTTGAAACTAATCAAGCAAACAAAGTTATTACTGTTAAAAAAAAAAAGTTTGCACAATGAACTTATAATCGGCTGAGAAAAAAGCCACAGTCGCAATCACAATTCTGCGGACGATTTTCTTAATGCGAGCAACAGTTGAGCCTCTATTATGTTTATTGAAGACTGAACCATTTATATTCTTATTCTTTAAATAATGCTTTTAAATGTAATCTAATTAAATAACACTTTAAATATTATACTTTTTATTTAAAACAAAATAAAAAGTACAAACTTATTTAACATTGTATATAGTCTCACAGCTCAAAACAACGTGTCAACTTTGAAGTTCTCTTTAGTACAAGTTTTATTGCACAATTTATTTTAGAGTTTAAACTTCAAAATAGTTTTCGTACTTACAAATGTTTAAATGGATGACAAAAACCATTGATTTACAAAAACTACTAGTTTTTTTAATTGAGTGAAATCTTAATTTTTTTTCTTTTAACGTTTTAGATAATTTTGTTAAACTTTATTTCAAAGATTGGTATAAATAATTTTTTCATTTTAATGACTCCTATTATTTTTAGATCAGTAGTATCATTGTTATTACGAGATAGAGAGATTTAGGAAAAAAACAGATTCAAAGAGCGCCAATTAGTAGTCAGTTAGAATGACCCATAATATTGTACGGAGGTAACCCTATGAATAAAATATTTTGGCAAATAAATGTCAAATAATAGCAAATAAATAAATAAACGCATATGGGAAATTTGACGAATATTATTTTGGGATTTATTTAAAAGCTAAGCTTTATAATAAAGCTTTTATAAGTCTTTTATAAATATTAAATAAATAACCGCATTAGCAAAACATTCATTGTTTTGCTAATGCGGTTATAAAAATTTTCACCAAAAAAAATTATGTGATTTTTAAGTATTATGTTGTTAACAATACAATCAACAATAGCATTATAGACACTACGTTAGGGTAAGGTAAACAGTGATGGATTCAGGATCTTTTTGTTGTTGAGATAACTTTCAGACATGGAGCAAACTTCAAACATTTGTATGTTTATATTGAGGCTTTGCAAGAAAATGCGATGATTGGAGGCTGGGAACGAAAAAGACTTTTGACTAAAATATTTTCTTTACTATTCTCAACTAGACTTATATTGATAGATAAATTTTAAGTTTCATAGCATTATCTCTCAGCGTTCAAAAATTATGACCATATAAAATTTATAACCCCCTTAAATTGACAGGGGTTTAAACTTTGATGGTCATAATTTTTGAACGCTAAGAAATAATACCATGAAACTTAAAATTTATCGATGAATATAATTCTAGTTGAGAATAGTAAAGAAAATATTGTATCAACTTGTTGCCCTTCATGTTTTTTGATTAAGGTAGACCACTATTAAAAATCAAAAAAATCGTTTTTTCAATTATAATTTGTTTAAGTAATATAGAGTACAACAGGGTAAAATGAAATAGCCGATAGAATGAAATAGTTATGACAATGTTTATTCTTTCGCTCTTAATTAACTATTGAATAACTTTTTGCAAATATTTTTTGATTATATTGAAGAGAATATTTTCTGGGTAAGGATTGCATAAAATTTTATTTTTAATAAAAAAAATATTTGTTATAAATTTAGCAGTTTTCGAATGCGTATTAAGATTTTATTTCTTTAAAAAGCGAACTTTAAACTCTCGGAAATTAATGTTTACTGGTACAGCTTTTTACGCTGATCAAAAAATTAAACTTGCTACTTAATAAAAAAATTTATGAGTTAAAAACGGCAAAGGGAGTGTTGTGGGATTGAATGAAATACGGTAATAAATAAATAAATACAAACAATAACTTATTTCTTAAAAGTGGCTTTTTTTTATTATGTCTCAAATGACCAATAAATCTACAACTATAAATTTTTGTATAAATTTCAATGAACGAATTTTCCTAACTGAATTTAAATGACTTTTACTTACTGCTTTTATAAAATGGTTCTAATAAATGAATGAAATACGATAGTTACTCTCTTGTTACCTTCTTCTTACTCTCGGTCACCTTGTCTGCAAACAACCTTCAATATTATTGTAATAACTCCGGCTATTCAAAAGGAAATACAAAAAACGGTTGCAAAACAACTGCAATCAGCCCAATCACTTGCAGCAGCTTTGCAACAAATATTTCGTATCCAACACGTTGACACACAAAAAAAGAAAAAATTTAGATGTGCCAAGATTCGAAGGGGAGTGTCTCAACAAACCTGAAATACTTGAAAGGTTAAGAGTTGCTGAGAGCAAAAAAGCAGCAAAGCAAGCTAAAAAATAACATAAGTTTATCTCTAATGGAGAACAGCAAATAAACCAAACAACAATTCCAACGAAAATATTAGCTGCAAACCAATTTAAGTGTAAAAAGTGCCGAAATGTTTTGGGCGAAACTTTAGCAAGTCAAAATATGGAATAGTGCCAGTGTGAAAATTCAAATTGCAAGGTTTGGCTATGTCAAACATCCCAGTAAGTGCATATCGTTTTTAAAACGTTTAAAAAACGTTAAATATATTTTTGTTGTATATATTGCCGTTTTCATAGGTTTTATGCATACCAAAGCGATACGTAAAAGGCGCTGAGTTTTATTGCACCAAAAAGTGCTGCACAAGTAAAAACTCAACCTCTAGTACCTCTAAACGACTCAACATCATCACAAGAATAAAAAAGCTTATTTTGTTTGATTGATTTTATTTATTGTTATTATTGATTGTTTTTTTAATTGTTATTATTGATTGCTTTTTGTTTTTTTAATAAAGTGTTGTTTTAATTACACTTACATTTGCGTATTTCATTCTCGCCTAATGTCAGTATAGAATGGAATAAATTTTTTTTAATCAATAAAAAACTTTACAAAAAATTTTTTAGATTTTTATATATTTAAATACAGCTAAATACTTCTCTACAACTAAAAAAAAGAAAAAAGAAAAAATCTTTTTTCCGTAAAAAAGTAATAATTAAAATCCTTAACTATTCCATTTGACCCCATTTTCCTCAAACTATCGTAGTTAAGAATTTCTAGTTTATTTTATGAAAAAATTAAGCTAACCTCATTAAAAATCACTTTTCCATAAAGCGGTAATAGCTGTTGGTTTGTTTTTCCCATAGCAACAGTGCCGGATCAAGGGGGGGGGGGGGGCTAGGGGACTATAGTCCCGGGCCCCGCAAAATTAGGGGCCTCAAAAAATTCAAATTTTTCTTTTTCAAGTCATTTTTAGGCTCTATAAAAAGGAGTCCAAAAACAAAAATAGCCTCAGGCCCCAAGAAGTCTTAATCCGCCACTGCATAACAACAATTTATTTTTTTTGTTGCTATGTATCTAAAAGTGAGCTTATACCACAAAGTTCCAGTGACATGGTATTCAATGGATTTTCCAATATTTTTCAGTATCAAGCACATTGGTTTTATGACTTTGATATTCTATCATTTTATTTTAAATACAAATTAAATAATGGAAGATAAAGATATAAGAATTAAAATAACATGTAGTAAGAAAGGTAGACTTTTTAGAGGAAACCGTTATCAATCAAAAAACATTGCAGGTGAAGAAAATGTATCTAATTTTGAACTAAAATTTAAATGGAGCTTAGCAAAAAAAAATTGAACATGTTTTCCTCCTGTTCCAGCAGTAAATCTTATTTAGATGTTGTAAATAATGATAATAATTCTGCTCAGCATGAGCAATTTAATCTTACAAATAAATGTTACATTTTCATGAACACCAAAATATTAAATCAAATAATAACTACCATCGGCCGCTGTCCAAAGTGTTCTTCAAATGTATCCTTTTATCATGGTGCTAAAAATAAAAAAGTTTTATCACAACGACTGCCTATTTTGTTTGTATCTTGCAACTGGACGCAGAAGTTTTATTCCAGCAAAACTATAGGCAAACCTGCAACAGTGGGTTCAAAAACTTCCGATATTACCTTACAATAGCTTTTTGAGAAAAAGGTAAAAGATACTCTAGTATAGAAAAGTTTTGTGGTTTAATGAATATGCCCAATCCTATGAACAAATCTTCTCTTAACTCGTTATGTAAAGAAATTACCAACTTTTACAATTACATAGCTGAAGCTAACATGAATACAGCAGCTGAAGAAGTACGGAAAAGAAGCACGGAAAATGACGAGCATACAGTAGACAATAAGGACATCTCAAGTGATGGGGCATATTCATTAAACCACAAAACTTTTCATATCAAGCCATATTAAATGCTAATCCCTATCCAGGACATATTATCAAGCCTTGTTAAGAAGCGTTTCCTTATTTGAATTTTACGTACGTATTCACGAATTTTACATACGCGTTTCCCTATTTACGTTACGCAAAAACTTTTTTCAAAAAGTTTATTTAAACAGACTTTTAAAACAGTTTATGCGGAAAACATTAAGCTGTTGTAAATAATATTTGTGGTATATTTTTTTATTAGATAAAATAACAGATAGATAAACTTTTTTATATTTTCCTTTTTTTTTAATATTTTAATCTTATTTTCTTAATTTTAAATTAATTTTATTATTAATCATAGTTTTAGTAATTTATTTTATTAAATTCTTTTAAAAATTTTAAAACGCTCCGTTTTACAATTTTTTTTACTGACAAAAGTAAAAAAAAAAAATAAATTTAATCAAGTTACTTTAAAAAGTTCGTTTACAAATAATTTTAATATCAGTTTTTTTAACAAAAGTTTTTCTTTATCATTAATTTTTTGAATTGATCATAGACTGAACGTCGATTAAAAATGATTTACTAGTTTATGAGTAGAATGCGACAGAACCGTAGGAGCAAAAATTATATTGGGGGGCAGTTGTACCCCGAACTAGTTTTAGGGACCTTTTTTTTTTTAGTCATTTTTTCCGTCAATTTCTTCAAAATTAATTATCTGAAAAAATTGTGGGGGGGGGGGAGGGAAAATGTCCCTGCTGCCCAACCGGTTGCTACGGGCCTATGCGACGATTTTGTTAAAGCCAAAATGTTAAAAAAAAAGTTGATAAATTTTTATTTATTTTTTGACCGATATGTATTCATGTCATTAAAAATCCTTGAAAAATAATTTTCATGCTAATCAAACTTTCCAGAACAAATAATTTATTGAGATATTAGGGAAAAAAATTTTAACGAAATTTTTTTTTCCTTGAGGGAAAGTTCCGGTTCCAAATCCTGATCTGAATGCGCTTTTGTAGTTAATCAAGGACGTAAAATAAGATTTTAAAATAATCTTACTTTACTTCCTTTAGTTAATAAATGACGTCAATACAAAAAAGTTCATTCAAACTCGAGTTATAAATGTTATGTTTGGGTTTTTCCTTTGCCGTTAAATTTAATGTAGGAGAATTTCATTACTTTTTTTATAAAACGAACTAAACGCGATAAATAAACTCTTTAAAAGCCCATGTCAGGGGCGGATCCAGCATTTTTTGGTGTTTGAGATAGCTAACTTCCAGACATGGAGCAAACTCCAAACATTTATATGTTTATACTTATATCAAATAAGGATGGTTTGCAAAAAATTGCGATGATTGGAGCCTGGGAACAAAAAAGCCCCAAAATTTGAGACGTACCTGCCCCAAACGTGAGAGCAACAAGTTGATAAAATATTTTTTGTACTATTCTCAACAAGACTTACATTTATCCATAAATTTTAAATTTCATTGTAAAATATTTTAGCGTTCAAAAATTATGACCATGTAAATTTTGAATCCCCCTCAATTCGAGGGGGTTACAATTTTTATATGATCATAATTTTTGAGCGCTAAAATATTTTACAATGGAATTTAAAAATTTATTGATAAATATCAGTCTTGTTGAGAATAGTACAAAAAATATTTTATCAACTTGTTGCTCTCACGTTTGGGGCAGGTACGTCTCAAATTTTGGGGCTTTTTTGTTCCCAGGCTCCAATCATCGCAATTTTTTGCAAACCATCCTTATTTGACATAAGTATAAACATATAAATGTTTGGAGTTAGCTACATGTCTGGAAGTTAGTTATCTCAAACACCAAAAAATGCTGGATCCACCCCTGCAGGTTATATTTATTTTTTTTTAAAAACAAAACTAATAGTTTTATTTTAATATATTTATTATCGTTAAATTACAATTTTTATTTTATCAAAAGCAAGTTACTAAAATTCTTTAGGTAGCGCTATTTTTTTAAGAAGGGGAAAACCCAATCTAATTGTGTAGTTATAAGTACATTAAAATCCCTTTAAAAAAATCAACCGTAAACAAGTGTCCCCTCATTTAAAAAAAAAAAAAAACCATAAAACGAATGTTTTAAAGAAAAAAAAAAAAATTTTCAATAAGTGTAAGATTTTAAAATAAGTAAATTTTTTAATCAACATTTAAATCTTATTTATAATTTTTTTTATAACAAGATTGTTTAATTTATAGATATTTCATTTCAAAGACTTACTACAATTTTTTATGTGGTTTTAAATTTAATTACAATGAGGTATTTTAAAATACGCAACTGACGTAATTGAACTTTTAACGATGTAAATATTTTTATTGAGTAAAGTTACATTTATTCCCGTTGCGCTTTTCCGTTACGAAACAAAACCTCGTAACAAGGCCAGATGACATACAGTTGAAAAAAGTGAATGTATAGGTCATGCCTAGAAACGTATGGGTACAAGACTACGAAATTTGAAAAAATGTACTAAATAAAATGATCTAGAAGATAAAAAGTCACTTGGCGGTAAAGGTAGGCTAACTGAAAGAGAAATAAACAAAATTCAAAAACTGGCGGACTTTAAAACGGCGCACCCCAAACTCGGTAAACAACAAAAGCTTTCGTTACGAAAATTTTCGGTAAATATAATGAGTATTTTACAGAATAGTAAAACCGTTAAGACAAGTGCCAAAATGGCTTCCTCGAAAGAAAAAAAAACAAACTTTCTAAAATCATTTTTAAAATTTAAAACTTTAATTTAAATATTTACAAACCAAATATAAACATTTACAATTATAAAATTTAAACATTTACGTTTTAAAGTCCGCCCAAAAACTCTACATCATCGCAATTCGCCAAAATATTGATAATCTTTATCAGATGCGAAAAAATATATTAGCAGTCTTGCATCACTCATGTATAGCAGATTCATCTAATGCTAGACATGTTCTTTGTTCACAAACCAAACATTCATGGTGTAAATATCAAAGATCCAAGCTGCAAAATAAAGAATATAAAGAAAAACAAGGTTTATCTATTGCTATAAAAGCTTTTATTAAGCCAGTATTTAACTATTTAATGTCAGAAGACCTTCTAAATGTTTCCATGGGTCAACTCAAAATAATAATGAGTCTTTAAATGCTTTGATTTGGAAACGTTGTCCTTGTGATGTTTATATTGGAATTGACATATTAAATTTAGGTTGTTGTTCTGCCATCATTATTTTCAATGATGGGTTTATTGGTATCAATAGAATTTTTGAAAAACTTTATTTAAAACCAGGACATTATTTTTCAGTTTTTTAGCATCTTTTGATTTAAAAGGAATAAAAAATGTGGAGAAAAAATGTGGCAAAAAGCAGAAAAAGAGATGAAAGCAACTACGAAGTATTCATAAAGGATTTTTGGACACAGAAGAGAATGAAGAGAGTTTAACCTATGGTGCTGGAGAACTTTAGTTTAAATTTATTTTATATTTATTTAATAGAGGCTACTATTTACTTGAAATTAATTAAACTTTTAGATTGAAACTAAATCAAAAAAAAAAAGTAAGTTTTTCGTTTTTTTAAAAACTTACTTTGGTAAAATTATTTTGTCTAGTTATATTATCAATATTTTTACATAGATTTTTATAAATTTTGCTTTACTTCTACTCGAAAACACTTTTATAATAAGATAACAATTGTCAACAGGCTTTTTAAGTGAGTTTTTTATATTTATCTGAAGGATTTTACGCTTTTTTTTCAAAACTATTTTATTCCACAGAAGAGCTCCGCGATATGTTAAAAGAGATCTTCCAAAACTTGTATGAGAATAATGTTAATGAATAAAATTGTAATTTCTTAAGTCATATTTGTCTTTTTGTTTTATTGCATATAAATTTTGAAAGGATATAGGGGTTAGGTTTATCATAAATTTGTACATAAATAAAAGAACAATGAAAACATTTTGCTGGTATATATTAAGAACATTCATATCCAATAAAAGAGGTCTGGGATGAGTATAACGATCTTTAAAGTTTATTAAACGTGCTATATGCTTCTGTTGCCGATATAGAGGATATGTTTATATGACATTGAATTAACGAGTGATAAAGTTGAATTAATGAATGTCTATTTACAAAATTTCTCGCTTTATACATTACTCCAATATTTTTTGAAACTTTATTGCGCAAAATTTCGATATGGTTTTTCCAAGTTAGATTTTCATCAATGAAGACACCAAGGAAATGTATAACTTTTGATTTTTTTATTTGAACATTGTTAATATTTATTTGAGGTAAAAGTTTTTTTTTGGGATTTTGAATGAAATAAAGTCCATTTAGTTTTTTCCAAGTTAACCGATAGTTTATCTGACTTAAACCAATTTGAAATTCTAATTAGTTCTATGGTGATTTCATTAAATAGTGTAATGATATTTTTACCGGACAGAAAAAGATTTGTATCATCAGCAAATATTACTGTCTTCAAATTTGAGGCATTGTGCAGATCATTAACATAAATGAGAAAAAGCAGTGGCCCTAGTATAGATCCTTGGGGGGCACCACATGTTATATCTAGTAAACTTGTTAAGAGTTCTGGTGTATTTTAATCAATTATGTTATAAAATTAGGGATACAAAAATTTAATAAAGTTAAAACGAGTCTTATTATGACGACAATTGAAAACCTTGGAATGAAAATCTCAAATGTCAAAAACGATTTTTTTTTCAGAAGAGCATTTAGACTATTGATCTTTTTTAAAAGTACCTTTTTTTTCACAGTCAATTTGAAGGACATAATTTAAAAAAAAAAATTTAGAAAGAATCATTAAATGGACTTATATATAGACAACCAAAAAATAACATAAATCCAATTTGCATAAAAGTGGACATTTGAGGTTTTTATTCCAAAGTTTTCAATTATAGTCTTGTAAGAAATACTGAAATATGGATCGGTTTTACTAATTCAGATACCAAATTGCATTAGTAGCTGGTAATGTACAGTTAGACAGTGCTTATTGATATTTATTAGTGTTGTTCAACGCATTTAGGAGCCATTTTGTTTTTAATGTTTTTATTACTTATCAACAATCTCAACGTTTTTACAATAAATTTGTTCACTATATATAGTATTTAAAAATTCAACTTGTGACACTTGTAAAAAATTAGTGGTCGTTATACAAAACGTTATAATAATAAAAATATGCAACGTGTGACTTTTGTCAATAATTAGCAAAGCTAATTATTGACAAATTATTGACGCAAATTAAAATCACAACATCTCCCCCAGCTCAACAAGAGCTCATACATAATCGTGATACTTCCGGTAAGGGAGTAATCTTCTCCCATTGCGAGTGAACCGAACAGGCTGTAACTGTCATCTTCGTCGTCGTCCAGGGAATTTATCTGAGAACTTGGATCTTCAATTGCGACGTGTTTTAAGTTCGTTTTGGGAGGTTTAACCAGTGTCGGATTGTAATCGTCATCAGTTGTTATATCTTCTTCGTTTTTTTCTACACGACGATGCTGCAGATGTGAAAATGTCGTGGCAACGTATGTCCGTTGACTTCAACTTCATCTGTTAAACCATTATGCCGTGCTACTATACTTCTTTTTAATCATCGCTGTGTACACGGCGTCATATGCTTAGGTTTCACCCACACTTTATCGCCAACTTTCCATCCATGACACTTATTCAGACACTTTTGTGTTGATTCGACGCGTTTGTATTGTTGGCAAAAAAATTCAAAAGGTTGCCATGTTTTGATGGTACGTTGTTGGTTAAGAAGACAGACATGGGCATTCCATATTTCGCTCTTGCATTTGTTCTTTTTACTGTCCAATGAACTCTTTCAACAATTCCATTTCCTGATGGTTTTTCAACAGCTCAATAAATAATTCTTATTTCCCACTTCAATGCCACACCTTGCAATTGAATTGCATTAATCACATTCAGATACCATTACGTGAGCATAACTTCATACTCTTCGAAACTCCCATGTGTGCTATCGAGTGAACTTTTTTGATCTGATGATGATCGTGCTTATAGATTTTACATTCTTTTATCCATTTTATTGGCACTCGTGTGAGTTCATCTGCGATATTTTTTGTTGTTGGTACCCATGTAACATTTACACTTATGGCATAATCCGCGACCAATTTTCCAAAATATTTGAAGCCTTGGTCGGATTAGCATTTCACATTGCCCAGCACATTTTACAGGTTTGTCACGAGTCAATTCAAAATTTAACAAACTGAATACACTATGAGAATCAGTTTTTCATAGAGACATCACTTGGGTTCCATTTCAATGCTATATTGAGACCTTCAATACATGCATCCAATTCCGCCACGTTGATATGCATTGCATCAGACTTTGGTCGAAGCTAAGTTGCATCTTCTATTTTTTTGTCAACTTTCATTATTACAACTTCTTTTGCTAGCGGACTTGCACCACACCATACAGTTAGAGATGCATTTGATAACTTTATCAACGACTTCCTGCACCATTTCATTTATGCACTTATTTGTAGTAGGTTCATCCCAACCTACTTCGTTTGTACATCTCTTTATAAAGCCGCATGAGAGTCTCAACCATCCAGCAACTGGTAAATTAGCAACCAGATTATCACATAATGAAAATATCTCCCTCTTGATGAGCACATTTTTAATAATAGGAATCTCGTGTCCTCTTTTCCAAAACATTTCCTTTGCAGATGGATTTACTGTTACTTTCAATCCTAGAGCACGAACTGGGTTTTTGCCAAAATATTCAGGTGTTTTCGCGTGAAGCCCCCATTTCTTCATATGTGCCACCAGCTTCCTTCCATTTCCATTGGTTGCTAATGTATTATCAATATCTTCTTGTTGATTTTGCAAGTGCAGAATTTTTTTGAAGAACATATCGTAGTATTGAGCTCACCATCACAGGTGCTAGGTTCAAACCAAAACCCAAACGTGTAAGCGCATATCGTTGATCCTTGTAAATTACAGTTTGGTAAGGCCAATGTCGTTTATGCACATGAATTTGTAGGTATGCTCTTTTTAGATCCACCACCGAGTCATTGTTGCTTTTACTCTTGAGTCTCCAGTCCCTCATTGCATTGTTGATGACATCCGCATCCCTTGTAGAGGCTTTTACATAGGTGTTAAGTTCGCAATAATCAAGCACCGGTCTTATCTTCTTTTTAATATCTTGAATGACGCACATCAACGGTAGTAATCCTTTAGCTTTTCCCATAATTTTATCGTCATATTTGATAAGTAAGCCTTCTTTGATCCATTCATTAATTTCGTTGTCGAACGCCTCACGATGTTGGTTGGATACGTTGTACTGACTTGTTCTGTTTTTCATTTGAGGTTCCGCCTCCCACTCCCAACTCACAATCCATTTTTTGCCATCAAAACAAGCTTTGCTTGTTCCGATTTCAATTGTCACAACACGAGGTGTCGATGATAATTTAATCAGAGAATTACAGAACTTCAATTTTGCAGTGCCAATTTTCAGTTCATCACACGACTTTATTAAATCCATAACCATAATCATGTCGTACTGGCGTATTACTTCCTCCACACATTACACCAATGCATCCACCAAGCACCCGTTTTTTGGGTGGTGTATTTTAGAAACAACTTCTTCATATCGAATTATTCCTCCCATTGTTGTAACATTCACTACATGAATTACTTTATAGTCAGATGGTAGTTACTTCTTGGTGATGATTGATTGCGAGCAGCCAGTATCCAGAAGCGCTGTAGCGTTTCTTCAGTTTATTACCAAGTCGATAGTAGGTAGTATTGTTTCGGGACAAGTTCTCGTAGAAATACCTAATGCGAACTCGTCCCATTTAAGTTTTCCTGGTTTCACCGATGTTTGTAGCAGTCCTTCGCAGCATGTTAATGCGAGCATTTCTTGCATAAGAAGGTACATTCACGTGCAAAGTGATTCAATGATTGACCGTTGAAACATCGCATTTCTTTCTTTCTTCGTATATCGTTTGGCATTACAGTCCCAGTTGTTCGGTAACTTGCATTTACTTCTTCATTTTACAGATAAACATTCCGCATCTAATCTAGTTTATAAAATCACGGATGCCGTCTTGACACAATCGTCAAAGCTCAATGCATCTTCTCCCCAAAGAATGGTACGCAGAACAGCACAATCATTGATCCCAATGATGAATTGATCACGAAGTCGGCCGTCTCTCTCTGAAGGCATGAACTTGCATTCTTGAGCTGCTCGGATCACTCGATGAGCAAACGTTTGTATCGGTTCTTCATCGCAACGATAAGTTTTCCCAAATTCATACTGTGAATTTAACGACAATTTTCTAATTTCCAACGTTTCCAGTTTCGTCACCAATTCTTTGTACGGAACATCCTCAGGCAGTTCAGGTGCTGTTAATTCCTCCATGGTCTTGTAAATCTTCGACGGCAAAGTAACAAGCAAAGTACGCTACGTGTCGATCGGAAGTAATATTGTTCACCACGAAAAAAGAAGTCAACTGCCAAATAAATTGCTTTGGCTGTCCATCTTTATATTGCGGAGATAATGGACAAGCTTGTTGTTCAACGCATTTACAAGCCATTTTGTTTTTAATGTTTTTATTAGTTATCAACCTTTCTACAACAAATTTGTTCACTATATATAGTATTTAAAAATTCAACTTGTGACTTTTGTCAACAATTAGTGGTCGTTATACAAAACGTTATAGTAATAAAAATATGCAACGTGTAACTTTTGTCAATAATCAGCAAAACTAATTATTGAAAAATTATTGACGCACATTAAATTCACAACAATTAGTATATATGATTTTATATTTATATTAGTGTTTTTATAACATATATTGTTCAAGATTCCGAATTTACTTAATTTTATGTATTTTAACTTTAATGACATTAAAGTAAGTGTTAATTTTATAGCTAATTTGTTACTACTATTTTCTCTTATTCTTTCATTAAGATTTCTAAAGTAGACTTTTAAAAAGGTGCACTTTTTTAGTAATAATTTTTTTAAATGTAACTTGACATTTAATGAAAACGATGAAGAAAGTTTATTCCTTAATTTCCTTGATTCAAATTTATTACTTTTAAAATTTTTTTTTTTCAAGATGAATTTAGCCAAAACGATTTTATAAAACACTTCAAGAAAACTATTTGATCATTAAAAGCAAAGTATTATGTTCTTACATGACAGAAGCTGAAACTGGATTTTAGACATTTTTAAAGTTTAAAAATTGTAAGATTTAAAAACCATAATTGTATAAAGTAGGTACACTGTATGTATAATT